GGCCGTCAAGTGTTCGCGATGGAAAAACGGGACTGGCTCGAAATTCGCCGAGCCGCGAGATCGGCAGATCTCTCGACTCGACCGCGCCATGCCGAGCTGTGTATATTATTGTAATTTTGTTACACGAGATGAAAATTTTGATGAATTTGGTTTTGCACGAGCGATTATATATATTCACGCTATTGATATTATATCTGCTGCGATTGATTGGAATTAATTACAGGAAATTAATTAGAAAGGAGATACGTCTGTGTGTGTGTGTGTGTGTGTGCGTGCGCGTACTCGTTTAAAAATCGCAAAACTCCAGACTCGAGCATTTCGCGATGTTGCTTTAAAGAGAGTCCTGATTGCGCGAAATTAATGTACCACTCATTAATAGCGATCGTCGTCGAAAGTACCACTCATTAATGTGCGAACCATTTTCGAATCGCGGATATTTAAATGTATTTAAGACTCGATAAATATAGGGATGCTCGGATTCCTGGCTGAAACAGTATTTTCCCCAGCTTTTGAAAGGAATCGATCAACGCAAAATTTAATAATCAGGAAGGAGGCGCAGTGGAGTTTTAATATTGATAATAATTATAACTCAAGGTAGGTTGACGTGGAAGATTGACTCGCCGCGTACGCTGCGAGTCCGAAAAAAAACACTCGCGTGTGTTATCACGCGTTTGAAACGCATTGTTCTCCCGTAGTTTAAAATTACTCGCGATAATACCCGGCGGCTGACTCCTGCCGACCAATTGTGTCGTTAATTAAAAGTTAAGTTTCGACGATTCAACTCGATTCGGACGGAATTTCGTCGACTCTATTCGACACGGGGAAATCCTCGACCAGCGCATCTCCGCTCTTTAATAACGGGTTCTTCGTTGATGCAAACTCGCGCGCGCCTTTCAAGTGGATTGTCGTATCGATCCGGCCGCAACGTATGGCTCTGAATCAAAACCGTATGAGCTAAGCCGCTGTCCGGCATCGCGATCGTAAAACGGCGAATTACCTCTCTCTCTCGACGGGAAGTGCGTTCCGCCTGACGTGCTCCGCGCAATGTGTCGAAGATTTACAGCTCGTTTACAATCCATATGAAATTTACGTCCGCGCAAGAAATTTGTCCGAAGTGACTCGCACGAAGGGCCAATGCTAAAATCCTTCGCCTGCTGCTGGCGGGACGACAAGCACAACACAACACGTCGTCATCGCAGTCGCTTGTCGCCGCGAAATCGCTGACGTCGTCGTCGCTGACTATTTCGAGATAAGTTTAATGACGTTTTCACCTACGTTAACTCGCGATACGAGACAGGCGATTGTTGCCGAAAGTTTTCGAAATTCCGACCGTGGAAGTAGTGTTTCCCGGTGATGTAAACACCGCGGGAGCCGAAAACGCAAGTAGCTCGTTTTCCAGAGGTTCGAAATGCCCGAAACGCCTCCTCTCCTTCGGGAATGCGTTTTATGTTACTGCGCAGTTTTATGTAACTTGCCGGAGACGAAAAAGAGCATCGTCGGGGATTAGAGTTTGCGTTTCGTCTCTCTCTCTCTCTCTCTCTCCCTCTCTCGTCGAAAGAAGAATAATTAAAGTTCAAGCCTCGCACACTCGTCTCTCTTTCTCTTACTCTTACCCTCTGTCCTTCGTAGATTCAAATGAAGATCATTTCTAACACGATGCAGTTTTATAACGCGCGAAATGGGAAAGAAACATTTTTACGTAAACGTAATATCTACGCGTGTCTGCTGATTTTACTTTTATGTAAACGCTAGGAGGACGCTAACGCAGCGCTCGATCGTTGTTGTGTGTCGCAACGCTATCCCTATATAATCTCTCTTCTCCTCTCCTTCTCTCTCTCTCCTGAATTTGCATTGCTAATATAAATATGAAGCTCGAAACACGCGAGAGAAGAAGCTTGCGGACCCCCGATAGTTCCCGAAGCGTGAAAGCAGTCGCTGATGACGTTCGTAATTGACAGCTTCTTATCGCCATGATTTCTATCTCCGCGTTATCTAGAGTATCGCAATTCTTTTCCACAGATTAATTTTAGATGCCTGCGCGAGCCGCGTCGTATCATTGAAACACGATCGGGATCGATCGATCGATCGACTGAAAATGACCCCGCGGACGATTTTTACATGTCGCGAGGAACCAAATCCTCGCGTCAGGATTCATCGTTTGAAGTTTTAAAACCGGACTTTTTGGTCGAACGAAATGTGCAATTTATCCTGAGAAACGTTCCGGTTTTTCTCGTCGACACCTGTCCAGAACTTTTCGAAATTTCTCGCGCCAACTCGAGCCTGAAGTGAAGTACGCCGGCGGATGTCTCTCAAGCATTTTTCTTTTTCTTCCTCTCTTTTCTTTTTTAAGCTACGCCCGAAACTATCAAGGAGGAAATCTTCGGCAAGTACCGACGTGTTAGCCGTGCAAATAAAATTTACCACCCAAGTTTGCGACCGAACTTACGTAGTGCGGCGGCGAGTTTCCAAGTTTATCATCGTGTGCATCTTTTAATAGGCTTGAGTAGTGGCTCACGGCATTACGGTGGAAACGTAGTTAGGGATTCTTCGGGATTTTAAAGTGACCTGTGTGTTATCGCTTGCCATGACAACGCATCCAAACAATTATAAACAGGGCTGATTATCGAATGAAACTTCGTAGTGCGGCGAATATTGCTTCCTTCAAACTGCCTCCGCAACGATATCTCAAGTCAAGTGCACAGACAGCAAATTAGAACGAGTAATGGAGCCTTTAATAATAACTTAAACACGAGCGTATATATATCTCAGTCGTACTTTTAATTGACATATGGTGCAAGAAGTGGATGTATGTCTTGCAGACTTTCGTCATCGCCGCGGCGATCGAACATCGAAACATACCGCGGAAATGCTGTTAAGTTGTGAAGTTAGAGTAATCGAAATTTCCGACATGATCGATTACGTCATTTTCGAGCGCAGTCTTGAACACTTTCTCATTTGAGTCGTCCAAGTTAATACAAGTTACGCTACGCTGCGCACCAACTACCATGGATGAAAATTCGCCCAAGGGTATTACGGCGTTGGTGTCAGAGGGTCGACAGCAACGGAGAGCTAACCCACTGTAATATTTCCCGGATGACTTTAACCCGTTGCTACTTAAATCATTTCTTATTAGAAATTTTGTTGCATCGGAAGATCCTATCTTCGCGCTGAATTATCCCGCGGAGGTAATTCTTAAGATTGATCACACTGATCTTTTTTCATTCACCTTTTTCAAAGAAACGATTGCTGTGTGAAATCTTTAGGCGGAAAATCTTCAAAAAAACCTCTCTGTTTCAAGCATGTATTAAAATATCTAACGAGAAAAAGAAGAAAGAGGGAAAGGAAAACCAGAACAGACAGGAGCTGCACAAATTTCGCTTTGCGCGTTATATTGTAATTTATTTCCATCATAATGAATGTATGTGTTAAATTAATGAAGATTATACGCGCGCGTGGCTTTTACGCATCTCTTTATTCCAAAGTTTAATATATGCTTTTAAGAGGCATAAACTGGCAGCAGCCAGTTTTCTCTTTTAAGAGAAGCCTCTTATAAGGAAGAAGCTATTCAAAGGACGTTTTATAGCGACTAGTGCTTAAAAAAGAGAGAAAAGAAAAAAGATTCGAAATTTTCTATTTATATTAAAATATAATAAGAATTTTGCAGCTTCCATGCGTTTACGTCTTTAGACTGTTTGCAGCGTGTAAAGCGGAAACACGCACCAGGTGCACATCAAAGCGCGGCCGATGTACACGAGCTAATATATGAGTTTTCAACCGAAACAATTGCTACTGAAAATTGCTCTCAGTTAATCAATTACAGCGATTAGCTGGCACGAAACAATCGCAACCGTTTCGCAGACTATAATGTGTCGCGTGCTTGCTCAATGGAAATCGGAATTATAACTTTTGACGGCTCCCTTTGCGAATCCCGTCAAAATAAGCGCTCCATTTTAAACGTCAAGTAAGTAAGACAGACGGCGATATCACAAACGTCACGCTCTCATGATCGCGAAAATCCGTTTGATGAGCAGATGCGAACAAAACGTTTGTCGACAATTTCTAAAAGGGGGAGGAACTTGTTGTTACATATATATTTCGCGCACAGTGCTGAATATTTTACTCCAACTCTCGATGTTTGTCCGCGCAGACGGAAATATGGAAGATACGGTTTATAAATGGACTATCTCTCTCTCCCTCTCTCTCTCTCTCTCTCTCTCTCTCTCTCTCTCTCTCTTTCTCAAGCAGCTGAAAACGAAGCCACATTTGAAATTGAATGCAAGACGCGATGCACAGCAATTGCTAAAAGAGTTGCAATCGATATCGGCAATATCGCTCGATGGGCTGACAATGTTGTAAAATTCGCTGGCAAAAATCACAATACGTAGCGGTGGTGTTTCCCTTGAACGAATAGTTGACGCAATATCGATCAATCTCGAGTGATTAATGCACATCTTGCGAACTGTACGCCAAAAAAAAAGTCAATGCAATCTTCCGTATCACATGATTTTCACACGTGACACGAGAGATCTCACGCAACACCGGAAAATAGAAAAACAACGCGGTCATACCGTGAACTTTTTTCAATTCGATGATATCATCTCGCAACTTACGATACAGATGGCTGTGAAACTGTAAACACGGAATTCGTATTCCGGGTTAAGCTCTCCTAACCGCGACGCTGCGTGTGATACATTTTTCACGTAGTACGAATCGCAATGGCGATCGATTCGCACGACGAAACTCGAAATCCGATTTGCGCGTTCTCAGGGGGCGGGCGAGAGGATCTCACGATCTCACGATCTCCGCGTGTGTCTCCGGAATGCCGCGGGCCGAGTGTAGCAGAGACAACAATCGCGAGAGCGAGACAGAGAGAGAGAGAGAGAGACAGACAGAGACAGAGAGAGAGAGAGAGAGAGAGGAGAGAGAGAGAGAGAGAGAGAGAGAATCGCTAAACATCGTCAGCTACATAAGAAGCTCGTAACCGTGCGCACGACACTCACCCTCATGGTCGAAACCTCACATGGTCCCAACGACGCTGAAAAACACCTTCAGCCAGCAGCGGATCCGCGTCGTCTGTCACCCATCCGCCATACTCCGCGGAGTGCCGCGGGAATGAAAGGACGCGAGAGCGAGAGAACGGGCGTCACTTGCTCCGCACGAGACAATTCTCTCACACCGAGGCCGAGAGACCTTCGCGACTCCTCGATGCCACAATCCTCGACACACGAATGCGCCGCGGAACACGTATGAAAATTTCGCGCGCCTGACGATCCTCCGAGGGTGCACTCGTCGTGCACAGCGCGGTGATATCCGCTCGGTATTTCCGCGTGCGAGTCGCGAAAACGCTCCTTGGAGCACAACCCCCGGCAAACAAGGCGAGTGGACTTCCGTTAACCCGAGAGCGACGCGAGAAACGCGATCTCGCGCGATAGGCTGATCGAAAGAATCAGCCGCTCTAACGTGAGGAATCTTGCGGACGGACGGGGGTAAGAATCTCTCCACACAGTCTCGTAAAGCTGTTTCCGTCTCCCCTTATCCCTCTCAGCCTCGAGAGGCAAGGGTCGGTCCGCTCCTCTCGTCGTGACGCCTTCGCGGCTAGCCGAAGACTGGCGACGGCGGCGGCGCTTCGGAAATTCGGACGCAGACTCGTCGGGTTATGCGGAAAACGTGGCCGTGAAAGCTCTGTCCCTGTCTCGCGCGCGCGTTGCGCGTCGGAACGAAACGGACGAATGAACGAACGCGAGCGAGCGAGCGAGCGAGCGAACGTGAACGAGAACGGGTGAGCGAGAGCGAGCCGGGGGTTGATGCGAGGTCGTGGCCCGGCAGCCGGCGACTGGCTGCTGCTAGAAAGCTCGCAAGCTCGAGCCAGTCGGCCTGGCTAGGCGCAAGCTCCCTGCTACGCGGCCTCGAAACACCCAAGCGAACACACCGCCGCCGCGTCGCCCACCCTCCCCGAGAGGGTTTCTTCTGGCGACTCGTGTCGCCGAGGCGAACTCTGCCAGATATTTGGCAGCCTGCGGCATTTTAAAGCTGCCGGAGGCCGCGTTCGATCCCGTTTGCCGTTTGCGGCGGGGTTGACGTATATGACGTGACGTGGAGGAGGAGTTTTCGGCGACTCGTTGGGATCGCTATTACTTCGTCGAAAGCGGATCTCGCCGAGACGCCGCGGAGACACACGCGAGGATTATCTCCTGACACAACGGGGATAATTCGGGGTCTGATGTCCTGATTTCTTCCTTTTTTTGTCATTTTCAAATGCGCGGTGATGAATTCTGCGCGAATGGCAGTCGCTCGAGATCGTGAAACGATTCTTTCGCGGGGGAAGTTTCGATATACTCTTCGCAGCGGTCTCTCGACTTACGTTTTTCAGATTCTTACGTTTAATAACATACGATATTTCGAGATTACGATTGCGTTTAGTAATAATGGGAGAGCATAAGGGGAGAGGGGGTGGAACCAAGGGCGAAGCGTACTGATAAACTAGACTGATACTTATGTTGATGAAAATCTTCAAGCTAATTGCGTGCGCATATCACGAGGAATCTTGTTGAAATAATTGGCGTGAACGGAAAGTCAGGCAAGATACGCTTGGCGGCGAACGTGTCAAGACGAATTACAATGTTTGCCGCAATCTGAGGAGGCGACGTAAAGTATCACCTCGAGCAAACGAGGAGAAAGCTCGGCGGGAAACAGGAGAGGAAGCATTTTTGAGTTAAACTGCCGTTCGCGATGCGTTAGCGAAGTAAATTACTTTCGTACGAGATGCGATTCCGCGAGGATGAATCGAATTTAATCCGTCGCGAATCGGCGTTAATCGCAAAAGCTGATATCGATATTAATGGCAGCGCGGATATAATGCTACATTCGTCGGTGCTCCAATGATTAATCGATAATGAATTACCGCGCCATTTCCGGCTGCGAGCGTATTAGTTGATTTTATGCACCATTTCTTTCAATAACGAGAAATTAAAATAAATCATTTTAGCGGAGTAACTTCTCGTTCGAATAACAATTTCGCGTTTCCACAAACATTCGCGTTTCAACGCACAGAAAGAAAGGGGAAACGGGGTGTTTAAATGGCAGGTACGAGCACGCGCGTATTACGGACTTAAAGCGATTAAGAAGGGTCGGCGCGTTCTAACTTGTTACACCTCATCTTATATTTAAAGATGGCCGTGAATCGACCTCTTCTCCTCGCGCGGGAAACTCGAGAGGAAGCCATTGATGCGTGTCGCAACATTTTAATATCAGGCATTGGGAGCGTTTCCATGAAATTCCTCGAATTCGGATTTTCCAGACGCGATAACGATTTTACCATAAACAAGCAGCGATTAAACGCGACGAGAACGCGGCGATAACGACGGTAATGCGCAGCTTTACAGTTTCGTTCGCGCTCGAGAATCTCGGCTCGCGAGAGCGTTTTCGCGGTACACTTTAATGCGAAAATTACTTCTATTAGTTTGTCTTTCGTTTACATTCTCACACGTGTGTGGGAAGCTTCGGATTCTCAATGTCTGAGGAGATTCCAGGGTTTGCGGTGTTGCTTACGTCGGTCGTCCACGAGAACAATTCATCGATACTCGGAAACTGAATAAAACTCACGTTCAATTTCATTCGACCAATACGACGTAATCTTCACATCGATCTAATGCCTCGAAAAATCGTCTTCTCGAACACACCGAAGGACCCGCCGTAAGAATTAGGGGACCCGACGCCGTCGATCCATACCGCGAGCCAAACACCCCATCGGACCCACCCCTTACGACACTCGCCGATGTATTTCACGGCGGCATTCGCGGCGGGCAGCTTTACGACAAGCGTAAAAGGTTTTATCGGCGATAGCGTTGACGAGAAACGAAGAGGAATCCGCGTAGGAGGAAAGGGAGGCTCTGAGCTATTCGGCGGGAGGGGGCGATAACGGAGGAGAAAAATAGAGGAGCAGGGGGTGGAAGAGAGAGAGAGAGAGAGAGACACGGGCGGAGACGAACTTCCGTTAATTATTCTTGACGGATCGGCGAGAAAGCCGCTACGTACACACGTCGTGCCCTGCCAAAGCTCGTGCTTGCGGCCGGCTCGAGCACAATTGCGGCGCCGTGGCCGACCGCAAAGTGCTTTGGTAGCGCGACGAAGCTGGCGCGGGGCTGGTTCATATGCACGAGCCGGCGGAGGGGGAGTGGAGGGGCTCGCACATCACTCTTACTTTGCGCGTTTTAATTAATTCCCTATGTAAAAACGGAGCCGGTGCTCGAGCGCGATTTTCCGTGAAAACGGTGGCTCGGCTTTCCGCATGGGAACTCCTCGGGATCTCCAAAGGGTAGCAACGATGTTGGACGAGCGATCAGCGCAAGTAACGATCGCACGCGCGCGCGCGCGTTTCGGAGGACTGTCGCGTGCGACGATGTCTCGTGAAACCAGAGAGCCTCATAGGAAGAGAGTGGCAGACTGATCGCGTGATCAGGTATCCCTGCTGATTCGATGGAGGCACAAAGTCTTCTTGACCAATCAGAATATCGATATAGCAAGGCGACAGGTTGGTTTTACAGTGAGTTTTAAAAGTCTAGGCACTTTATACTACGCACAAGACACAAAATTATGTAAATAATACATATTACGATTCTTATTCTATGTATATAAAATCAAAGCAATGAATATTCCTTTACAATTAATACTTATTACTTTACGGATATCTGATTCTTATTGCTGTTATTAAAACCAACCTGTCGTATTGCTATATCGATATTCTAATTGATCAAGAAGGCTTTGTGCCTCCATCGCGAATCAACCTGGTCACGTGATCACTTTTGCCACTCTCTTCCTATGAGGCTCTCTACGTGAAACACGCGGTACAACACACCGCGGAAGTTTGAATTTTATTTATTCGATCGTGATGAAATTAGTTTGGAATGAGATTGAAAGCGACAAATGTGCTGATGACATGATTATCAAGAGAAAAATAAATTGCATACAGTTGGTCTCTACTACGACAGACATTTGTATTGGGTTGGCAACTAAGTGATTGCGGATTTTAAATAAGAATGAAAATTCAAAATTTTTAATTTGCTTTTTAAAATTTTTTTCAATGCATGTATGCGATACATTGAGCTTCTTTGCAATATCACGTGTTGTGCTGTGACGATCTGAATCGATAATGGCCTTGATATGGGTCTCATCGACTTCAACTGCCAGACGGCCAGATCGTTGAGCATTTTTCAATGAAAAATCACCAGAACGAAATCTGGCAAGCCAATTTTGACACTGCCTTTCTTTCAAGGCTTCATTCCCATATACGGCACATAACTTCTTGTGTGCTTGCGATGCGTTCTTGCCTTTTCAGAAATAATACAATAAAATATGTCTCAAGTGCACGTCTTGCTCTTCCATTTTTAAATTGGGATAAACATAAAACTAAACAACTAATCGATATAATTTTTGTACTAAATGAAAGGTAGAAGTCCAAACAAGAAAATAAGAAAAAAATATAGGTTAGATACTTTGAACACGTTAACGAAACAAAAGAAAGTGTAAAATCCATCAGTCGACAAAATCCGCAATCACTTAGTTGCCAACCCAATAATTCGTTTTGTCACGCGTCTTGACCCAGTCTTCGCTTGAAATTTGGCAATCATTGCGAGCGAGTGCTGTTGACAACGGCGACAACGAGCTTCAACAACGACAACGAGACAGACGCCTTGAAAGTTCGTGTTAATTCATTAAATTCACTTCAGTCGTTCCCGACTGAACATCAAAAATCGCAGTACAAATCAGAGAAGCTCAAATCTCCAAATGACACTTAAATATGTAACTTAACGCGTGTATCATTAACTCATTAATTCATCTTCACGGGTCACCTGATCGCTAATTGAAACAATTCCCATCCGCATCCCGTCGTAAATAAAACAACACTTTCGCAACGACAAATTATTTCGTACGGCACGAGCTCGCGCCCCCTCCTCCCCCCTCGAATCTCTAAAATCCGCTACGAAGAATTCCGTTACTTTGTCGCACGGCACAAACGCATTCCCCGCGCGCACGGCGTGGATTTCATTTCAAATCGCCACGAGCGAGCGCGGAATGAAAAGTCGCGTCGTCGCGATCGCAGGCGCGATTGACTACGTCAAAGACAACGTTTAAAGACGCATGTATTTTCGACGCAGAGTTTCAAGGGGCGGAGGGGGCGAGGGGACACGGAGCGGATATTTCAATAAGCAAACAGGACGCGCCGCGGGCGGACGCGCGTGCGAACGGGCTGTGTTTAATCGTCAAACAGAGTAATACAGAATAACGAGCGAACGAATGCTCGCGCATAAAGCCGCGCGCGCGCGTAACGTTTGCCTGCCGGTGCCGGCGCGCGGTTGCTGCAAGCACGCACGCACGCACGCACGCACGCACGCATGTGCGTTTGGCGCGAGCGCGAGAGAGGCACACACTTTTAATTAAAAGCGCGAACACAAGACAGCTCCTTTGGCGCGTCCGCTCGCTCACTCGCGAGGGAACGTGCGTGCGGGCGAGCGAGCGTTTTATTGCCGGGGAGATCTCGCCGGATTGCCGAATGCGCGCGGCATTGTAATTTCGCTTGCGTTACAATGCTCCGTGATAACCCTTTACCCACCGTTCATCCCACCTGCCCTTCCCCCCTGCGCCTAGGACATATATTATCCTGCCGGTTTACGGGCAGGACCTGAGGCAAGTGTCGTTACACGCGGGACTCGTGTCTCTCTCTCTCTCTCTCTCTCTCCCTCTCCCTCTGCCCCCTCCACCCTCCTTCTCCCCAAGTGAGAATCGATATCACGCGTCAGTTAGCCGCCAAAACGACGCCCGTCCGATTACCGCTGCTGTAGCGATGAAATC